CAGCATCCAAAAATAAAAAGGAAAGAAATAAACATAAGAAAATTCCATGTGCCCATCAACTGTGTAAAATCATGAAAAGATTTACCATCATTTAAAATTTCTCTATTTATCCCTCAAAAAGGGATAAGTAGAGGCTTGCTGGGACAGGGATAGTATAGTCTGCTAACCTGGATGGGAAGATTACACAACTCTTAAAAGACATAGTTATCCCTGTCTTTTAGCTTTGCCTTTTAGGGTGGTTATCTAAATTATGTTCTATCTTTTTAATCATCAGAAGCAAAGAACTCTTAATTTTCCTCCAAAAAAAAAAAAATCACATTCAAGGAAGTAAAGTTGGTAGCCTTGAGCAAAAAAGCCAAGCAATAGTTCAAGTCCCTGAATTGAAGCCCCAGTACCAACACACACACACACACGCACACACACACACACACACACATCCTTTTGCTGGGCTGTGATGGCTCACACCTATATTCCTAGCTACTCAGGAGGCTGAGATCTGAGGACTAGGTTCAAAACCATACAAAGGAGAGAAATCTGTGAGATTCTTATCTCCAATTAACCAGCAAAAGCCAGCAGTGGAAGTGTGGCTGAAGTAGTGGACTGCCAGCCTTGAGCCAAAAAGCCACATGTGAGTACCAGACTTTGAGTTCAAGACCCACTACCAGCACATACATATATAAAAATAAAGTTTCCTGTAAGTTTGATGTTACGGGGAGAAACTAATGTTATAGAAAATGAGATGCCTGTCCTTGTTTAATCAAGTTCTGCCATTGTGATGCTAAGCAATCCACTAAACTGACCACCAAATGAGCTACTCTTATGCTGCATAGCAGGCCTTTTACAGAGGCTGGCCTCTGCAGAACAGGAGAGGATGTATGTCCCATGCTCTAACTACTATGTGCTGTTCACAGTAAACCACTGTCACAGGTGCTCTCTGAATGGCCAAGGTGAGCTGCAAACGCACACAGGATGATAGCCTCATGAAGTTATTTTAAAACGCAGCCATACCTTAAGAAAATTAGGTCAGGTCTAATGAGAACCAGCCAGTGGCTTTACTTATTCCTATTATCCTGTTCTCTCTGCTTGTTTGTTTTTCCTGGAAACCTGTCATCATAAATGCATTCTCTTTAAAATAATGGGTAAGAATTTAGGAAATAAATATAAGGAAATAGAAGATAAACTATTACCTCTTATGTTTTCCTTATGGTAGAGTTATAATAGATGCCAACCCCCCATCCCCAAAATCAATACCAAGAATTTTTTTCCTCCACATAATCCATTAGATATACTTTTCTCCCCTGCTTTGAAACAGAAATAATTATTTTCTACAAAAGCATCTCTAAAGCAAACATACTTTATCCTCTCCAGGGAGAGGAATGGTACAACAGAAGCAGCGCTCGGGGGACCACAGCAGAACACAGCTGCCATGGCTCATATTGGCATCTCCATCCCTCCAACTCCTCTACAATGCCTTGGTCTTTCCTTCTTGCCTTCCTTCTTTGTAATTCCCAGGCTGGGAATGCCCAGTGATGTCTGCCCTACTTCTGGGAAGATGAAAAATATAGCTGCAGAAACTGCTTGATTTTTCTCTAATATTTCAAAATGTTTCAAGTCAGACCTTGTACCTTGAAAGAAAAGGAAAGCTTTGAAAGCAGGTTCAATCACTTTCCACAATGACAAATATCCAATGACTGGATTCTAGTTATTTTCTTCCCATTTGAAAGAATGAACAACTATGGGACAAAAGAAAACAATGTTAACAAAATTGTATTCCTATGAATTTCATTGTTGCTTCCTCTTTGGAAGTCTCATTGCAATTTGGAAGTATTGTTGTGAATTTAATAAACAAATGGTAAATTATCATAGATCAATGAAAATTTCAATACTGGCTGCAAAGGAAGACCTAAATGTTTGGCTTATTATTGTTCTTTATCAGCATTTTTCTACTTAAAAGTTTAAAATATGCCCATTCACAATTCATCTATGTATCAATTTCACCAGATAGTTTCTGCCTTATATTATCAAGAAGGGAAAGGTATGCATGTAGGTAATTATAAAATAAGTACAGTATGTATATGTAGATCAAATCATTTAACTAAATCATCAGTAGGCTGCTTTTAAACATCTCTAAAATTATTTTTGCTTTTAAAACTCAGCTTGGTAGGATACTGTATGAACTGTTAAATCGTTTCTTTATTCTTTCATGCAAGTAGCAACAAAAATAAATGCTTTGTCACAAAACTCTTGGCTTTTCCATTTTCTATTCCATTCTATTCAGTTCAATTTTTCCACTTATATTTCAATACCAGTGACTAATCATGTCATCTTGTTCTGTCTGAGCACAGCAGGTCCTCAGTTGGGACCTAAACCTACACCTTTATAACTAAGCCACTTTTGTGGGAAAGACATTCCTCTCTTGCTTGATTGTCTCCTCAGCCTCTGGCAGGTAAAGGAATGTAGGAATGTAAGAACCCAGATAGGCTCACCTCAGCTCCCAGGACCATTATTATCTTCCCATGGAGTCCTTCTTCATAGCCACCAAGGCCACCATATGGCAACACTTGGCCCCATATGGTTCCATCTCACTGAAAGGGGTGCTCGAGAACATAAAACGCTATTGTATACTTTTATTGCAGCCCCTTCTCCTTTACTCCATCTGTCTTCCATATGGTTTATGCAACTCTATTAGGATCTTGCACACCCAGACCTCTGATAATGAGGACCGCCAACCCAACCAAGGAAAAAGACCATCACTGCTGTCAGTGAGGAGCTTCAATTACTATAAATACCAGATTCATTTAGTATTCAAACTAAAACACACTGCCAACCACTTTTCCTTCAACTTGCATACCATTTATTTTATGTTTATATTTAAACAACATTTTATCAACAAAAACTAATGGTAGTTTTTTTTTCCTGTTTGAAGTTCACAGAACTTGACTTCTGTGCAGGTGTCCCTATGATATGCATATTGATTATTCTCTACACAACTGACTTCTTAATTTTTGTATAAAAAAGTTGTTACTTTGCTTTTTTTTCAAAGGTCTCTACAAAACAGTAAAGTTTTACACACATCCTTCCCTTTAAACTCTAAGGAAATGGGGCAGAAATCATCTGAGGCTGATTCCACCTGACCTTTCCTGTCCCATCAAGACTGGGGCTATGAAGATCAAACAACTGACCAGCCCTGCTCCTCTCTGCTTTGTGTGTATTGGACTAATGAGATATATTTGACCCCAGTGTTGGCCTAACTGAAAAGAAAGCAGGAATCAGTGTTATGAGACATTGCTCACATCAGCATTCCCAACAAGACGCAACTCCTAGCATCCGTATTAACAAAGGTGATTTGTCATGTCTAGTGTTAAACAATGAATCTTAGGGAGCACCTGGGCCATTTTCTCAAAAGTAAAGAGAATAGGCTGGAGCATAGCTCAGTGGTAGAAAGCTTGTCTAGCTTTCAAGAGGCCTGGGTATCACAAGGAAAAGATAAGGAGGAAAAAGTGAAGAAAATTAGAAAGAAATAACGTAATTATTAAATAACACCTATGCTTATAATGTTAAGGCACTTAAGCACTCACCCTTTCAAGGTACATCACCTTTAATTTGTTCTAGTCTTTCCATGACAGGTAAAATGCCTGAACTATAGTTCAGACCTCTTGTGTAAAGTAATCGGGGAAATTATGCCCAGTTCTGTGATGGTCGCATCTGATGGTGAGAGTCACTACAGTGCTCAAATGCACAAAAAATGCAATGTACCTGAGAACACTTTTACCTTCATTGTAAAGTGTTTGTGTGTATGCGTGTGTGTGTGTGTGTGTGTGTGTGTGTGTGTACACAAGGAAACTATTGATCTACCTGCCCATTATATGCAAAATAAAGTACTGACTTAGATTTTGAAATCAAATAATAGTGCTAATGTAGAATACATGATTGGATCACATTCATGTATTTCATACATCATTGTTTTTCCTATTGTGCTTTATAATGCAATATAGATCCAGGCATCACTCATGTTCAGACAGAGTTATAAGAATGGGAGGAAACTCTTGATCTCACCTAAGCTGGGATTTCACAATCCCTCCTGTAGTCAGGACCCATTTAAACATTGAAACAATCCTTTGATGCAATCAGAATACTGCAAACTGAGCGTGCCAGTGGTGCTAGAGTAGCATCAGAAAGGGTGCTTTAGTCAGAGGATTAAGTTGCAAATTTCAAGCTACTGCCCGAGGCCAGTTTATTGGAATAGTTGGTTCAGACTGGAACAAATTTGAAACTCTGGTTAAGAGAAACTAGTACTCTCCTTTCTGTGATAATGAAAATGATGGGCAAGTCATTTTGTAAATGGACTAGTGTTTTCAAAAGTGCATGGATGAAAAACTAGATGGTATTTTGCTCTCAAGCTGAATAAAAAGGACAAGAAGTCTGATCAATGAGGCTTACTTGAATTATAATTTCCTGTCTGAAAAGCTGTGAGTGTCCCTTTCCGCACCCTCCCCACCCTCCAGGGCTTGCTCAGAGCAGCAGTTTGTAAACCACAAAGTTATGGCTAAGCATGCCTTTGCAGAGTAGCTGTACTAGACATTTCAGCAGGGAGGGTGGTTCCCACCCACCCCACCCCCAGCTCAGCACTTCCTTCCAGCCAGGTAACAGCCTGTCAGCCCCTTCCCCTTTCCAGTGCACAAGGGCTATTGAATGCTGGCCTCTTGCCAATTGCCTTTAGGTAAGCATTGGTAAAAATTACTGGAGAAACACACACATCTGCCATCGTATCGTTTTCTTTGTACAGCTACTTCCCAGGCAGCTGCTTGGGAACTACATGTGTCCATTTACTGGATTTAAACAAACAGCACGAGGCAGAGGGGAGTCACACAAAGCATATGGTCTTTCAGCCCACCCTGGTTTCCTCGAACAGTAGGAGCCTCACCCAGGATGCTGACAAGAACATGAGCAGCAGGAGTCTGGAAGGAACACCCCCCCCCCACCCCCACCCCGTACCTTACCTGTTTCTTTGTCCTGGACTTCCTCCAGGTGCAAGTCATTCAAAAGGTGCTCCAGGATCTTCTCCGGGGTCCCAGACACTACCACATATCTGTCAGAGAGCAGAGAGTCCACTGAGTCGTCTTCCGTGGAAGACTGCGAGCGGCTGCTCCATTCATCGTCCTCATCCTCCTCATCGATGTATTTGAAATAAGGCACATCGAAGGTAGGCAAGGGCAGCTCTCTGTCCGAGAGTACCGCTGAATCTTTCCTCTCTAGATGAGGGTCAAAGACCCTCAGCCGGGAGCTGCCCATTGTGAACGGTTCCTGACAAAGGCATCCCCTAAATGCTAAAAGATCTGTGCCATCCCCGTCCTTTCACTGGGAACTGAGTCCATCTGGCTGCTAAGAGCTCTGCAGTCAGCTAGAACGCCAGAGAGGCGGAGAGAAAAGCGAGGGAGGGAGGGTGAAGCAGACAGAGCAAGTGAGAGCCAGGGAAGGGAAGGCAGCAGGGAAGGAGAAAGCAGCGGCAGGGGAGAATCTCACCTCCCTTCGCCCTCGGCACTCCCCGCGGTGGGGGCTGGGCCACAGCCCAGCACTTTCTTCAGCACCAGGACATTCCGGTCTTGCTCTTTAACCTGCACCGTCGTCACTTCATCCTCTTGCTTTAATTGTGGATGGGATTGATGGATGGGAGAAGGAAAAGGGAGAGCAAATTAAAACAGGAGCTAACTAGAGCTGCAGTGGTTAGCTGCTTGACAGCATCGTTTCTTTATAAAGATTCATAAGCATTTGAGAGACTTTAAAGTATTTCAAGTGAAATGGGGGGGGGGGATGTGAAGGAAGAGCTGGGGCTTACAGAGTTTAAAACAATTGTGTGGACAATTTGAATTTGAAAACACAAGGTTCAAAGTTTCAAAAGGCTTATCATGCGAACTGCATATGTACTATATTCTTCTTTACCAGGCTAATGTTTCTTTCTTTTCTTCAGACAAGACCTGGCTATGTAACCCAGGCTGGCCTTGAATTCACAAGATTACTACACCTCAGTCTCCTAAGTGCTGGGATTACAGGTATGTACCACCACACTTGGTGGGTAACTTTAAATACTCTATTATGATTGCAAAATCATAAAACATACATCGTTGAAACACCAAAATAATGAGCAGAATCTCATTTTAAAAGGTAGGCAAATAAAACCTACCTACTGGATTATTCAAATCATCCTTCCTCCACCTCCCCCATTTACTCTTCAAATTTGTCATGTGCCTGTTTAGTCAGAATATAAGCAAAAATGGGTCTCTAGTTAGAATCTCATCAGATGTCACGGGCCACTATACTGACTTTCTTCACCTCAGTCCCTTTTTAAAAAGGAGAGAAGGCTGGACCATCATTCATTTCTGCACACACAGCTTCCACAGCCCACAGCCAGTGTGGCTCGCTGACCTGGCTCTGTTGCAGAGGACAGTCTCTGCTGACCCAGCAGTGTGGACTAAACTCTGAACTGTGAACACTTCCAGTGTTTAGCATGGAGCTCTCTGATGTGCAGCGCCCCAAGTGTGAAAGCAGCCCAGTGGAAAGAATTGTAAGGTACACGCAAGAAAATCTACTGCCTGTATTTCTGATCATTTGAACAAAAAGATTAAAGGAAGAAAAGTTGGCAGATTTTACTGTTAAGGTGATGTCACCTCTGTATTTTCATTTTTAATTTTATTTTCTTATCTTTCAGTACAAAGGGGTTATCTTTCAACAAACCAGTTTCTAAGTACAAAGCATCTTGATTAGCCATGTCACCTCTCTAGAAAGGGAAAGCCTACTGATCAAAAATCCTACCTATGATTTGGTACAAATATAAGGAGGAGACCCTGCCCCCACAGATAGATAAAAGTACCATATCCATGTCTTCTAAAGACCCACTGGATGTCAATGTGTTTTATGTACCTATCCTAAAAACAGAAAGACACTTATCTGGCCATAATTGCCAACCAAATCAGTGATTAGAATTGTGATTTCAACTCCAGGTGTCCTGATTTCTATGAAGTCTTCCCAATTTTTCTTAACAACAGATAATACTGGTTATTGCAAACTGCAATATAATCTCAGAATCATTCTTTTTATAATCTGTTAGTGGCAAATAATTTTAGTATGTAAAACTGATGCAATGCATTTCAGCAAGGTCAGATTCACGGTGTCTGTGGCAATTAATGCTGGATATTCATTGTTCAACTCCCAGAGGAGGCCCGTGTGACTCCCGGAACATGAATACCAATGTGTAATTGCTATCTTTCATTTCTCTAAAGCAGTTCTTTTGTTATCTGTGTGGCTGAAGTGAAATGAAGTAGCTGAAGAGAAAGGGGTATATTGACCAAATAAAAGTCTGAAGGCTGTGATACTGAGACACATGAAAGAGACAAATAATTCTATTATTTGAATGGACAAAAATCTTCCCCTGGTTTTCTCTAGTGGTAAACCAATACTCATTTTTATGTGGGCTGCTGTCATTCTGAAGTACGTTTTACATCCTATGTGCACGTGATATATGGCATGATTAACTTCTGAGGGCTGCGCACATACATATGGATGGGCAGGGTTCTCTAATGTCTGTGTAAGTGACATGTATTACATGGCTGTGCACGCAGCAGCTGGACTCTCCTGGGCAGGGGAAGGGCTGAATCAGATTGAAGTACTATCAATAGCATCTTATGTCACTGTAATAGGTTCCATTTTGAAAAGCTGTTAAAAAATAAAGAAGAGAAAAGAGCAGAAAAATCAATGACAGAAGGGAGATTTAAGTTCCCAAAAACTGCCATGAAAACATAATATCTTATTGTATTATGTCCAGCTCTGCGGAAGGAAAGCTATTGCAATGCTTCCTAATCCATGCCCTTTTCTACTCTTTTTTTTTCCTTCAAAGACAAGTGCCATAGTTGAGGTTCTAGGCAAAATTTCTTCTAGTGTCTAACTAAGAGAAAAAGTATTAAGAGAACTAATAATCAAAAATATCTTCAATCACTAATATTTCATGAAATGTAAGTCAAGAATTAAAACACTTGATTGACATTCATTTATGCAGCAAATAGTGACAGCCCACTTTGGGTAGAATACATTGCTGAACATCAAGTAGCAAGCACAGTTGAGTAGGACAAGTGGCCCACTCTTAAGTAAGTTAACAGGCTCCATGAACACCTAAGTGTAGTTTATGGGAGCCCTAATATACTAAATGCTAAATGCAAGGGATAAAGTAAAAGTAGAATCCACAGTATTTAATAATCAAAACTGAGAACAAGAGATTCCAGAGTAGTGGTTATGATAAGCTGCATGAATGTAGTTTCAGAACTGACTGGACATTCGTAGATATTTGTCAGGTAGTTAGAAATAAAATGGTAGGTCTCAAGATAAAGGTCAGGGATGAAGAAAATTTGTAAATTATTGACATTTTAGCAGCAAGTGAGTCTATTAAAGGGGAGCAGGAAAGAGAGGAAACTATGAATATAAGGAAATAAGTGAAGAAAAAAGAAGGGAAGAGGAAAGTAACACAGTCATAGAGATGGTACCTATGGAGACTGTGAAGAACAAATGAAGGTAAGCAAGACAAGCTGAGGAGAACCAGGAGAGCCAAGGAAAACACTTACCTGCCTGTAAAAATTTCAGAGATGGTAAGTGTAAGGGAAAGTGACACTGAGACAGCTTACAGATCAGGAGGTGGTTAGAAGCGAGGCACCAGCTACTGGGGAAGCAGAGGCAGGAGGATTGCAGTTACAGGCCAGCCTGGGTGACACTGAAATCCTGACTCAAGATAAAATCAATAGCAGAGCACTTGCCTATCATACTTGATGGCCAAGGTTCTATCAGATCCTCCTCTGGGACTCCCCAGAGGGAGGGGGAAAAGGTGGGAAGCATTAAGGTGCTAGTGCAGGAGATGGGAAGAGCTATCCTGGGAGTTCCATTGTGTAGGGAAGGAGTCACTTGAGGAGGCTAGGCTCCTACCAGGGAAAGGTAGGAAGGAGGACATACTAGGAACAACTGACCCAAGGAGAAGGAAGACTGGGAAAAGGAGACGTAAGATAAGAAGAAGCTGTTTGATGATGAAATAGCTGCTAATCTTGGCAAAGTGGAATTTGAGACATCTTTTGGAAGGAGAAGCGGGTGGTCTAAACAGGATATTATTGGAAAAGTAGCAGGGAGTGTAACCAGGGATAAACGAGCTATGAAAAGAGGATTGCAGGTAACTTTGTGAACTGCTGAGGCTAGAAAACACATTTATGCTTTTATGACTTTCTACTTGAAGTGCTTTGAGGCCTTGAGAGGAAAATAGAGAATGACAGGGCCCAGGCAAGATGAGGGACAGACCAGAAAACCACAGGAAGCCATGAAGGGGGTCCCTGGACTCCCTCTGTACCACTGGGAAGCCGGGAAAGAACTGATGAACTGTGAAATCTGGGGACTGCAAACCACCTGCTGTGTGGGTTAGGGCACAGGCTTCTGTCAGAGAGGCAAACACCTGAAACAGCAGTTCTGCCTGACAAAGACTCAGGAAGTGGACAGGAACCCCAAAAGGGACAGGTTTGGGGCTTTGTCCACCGACAGGTTCCAGAGATTCAGCTCCCTTTACTCTGGTAACTTCCTAAGTGAGAAGAGCACTAAGACTATCTTTTGTTAAAGTGTAGGCCTTTGGTCCTCAGTTACTGAAGCAAAGCTACAAAGGCCAAAGATAGTCTTTTGTTATTCATAATTTTTTCCCTGTAGCAGAGTTTATGTTAATGAAGTAATTAGAGAAAAGTCCCTAAATTATTACACTTTGGGCCTGCCAGTTGCCTGAGGCTGGAACTCCCAGCCTCAGCCTACACCTGTAAGGTCGGGTTGGTCACCAGTGGCTAAAGACCATCAATCATGCCTACATAAGGATGTGTCCATAAAAACCCAAAAAGAATGAGTTCAAGGGGCTTTCAGGAAGGTGAACAACAAAGAGGGTATATCCCAGGCTCCACAGGGAAGAAAGCTCCAGTGTTCCCAACCTGGCCCTATCTATCTTTCATCTAGCTATTCATCTGTGTCCTTTAAAACTTTCTTTACAATAACATAAGCATCTTTCTCTAAATTCTGTGAGTAAAAAGCATTCAAATGCAAATGGGGGTTATGAAAACCTCCATATATAGTCAGTAGGTCAAAAGCACAGGGAGAACAACCTGCAACTTGTGATGCAGTTCTCAAACTGTGCATCTGATGCTTCTTCCAGGTAGACAGTGTCAAAACCCAGTTGAATTGGAGGACAGAGCTGGGGTTCACGGCAGAAATGCTTGGTGTACAGGGACACTATCCACACCCACCACAGAGATGTTTAAATCTCTGTGTAGGTTACTTAGAAAGAGAACAAGAGACAACAACAACACTGTTTCTGCTCTGTTTTCAGACCCTGACATCTTAGAGTTGGCCTGGTACTCACAGCTAAGCCTTGGGGGTCTGTTGCAAATGGTTCTGTAGGAAATCAACCCCACACAAGGCCAGAAAACCTTTCTGTGATGAGAGAAGACAAACCAGAGGCACTCAGTAATTCCTTCTGAACACAGACAGGATGAAGGTTGTCTGGCTCACAAGTACTGAACAGTCCCACTAACAATGGTGATTACGACTTCTTTTTCACCAGTGACAGCTGTGTCTTTGCCCT